ATGTTCAAGGCTTGGATCTACATGGAGAAGAGCCAGGTTTGTGGCCATTTGCTGACTACAGATACATGTTTCAGATGAAGAGCTATTTCTATCCATTCCAAACCTCAGGCTTAAGGATGAAGTTACTCCATTGGAAACAACATCAGATACAACTCTTGTGTGCAAACCTACCCCAAGCGTCGGGCTCTGGGAAACCTCACTGGCCTCAGTGCACCGACTGAACAGGGTGTTGCTGCACATGCCAAGTGCCACATTCTCAGGGCTGGAGATCTTTCAGCAGCACTTGACTATGAGGTGCTGGCTGTCTGCTACTGCAGGGCTCCTACCAGCCCAAGCCACCATTTTTTTAAGAGTTATGAAAGAATCTCAGAATCAGAAAATGGTTTGGATTGGAAGGGACCTTTAAGATCATCTCATTCCAGCCCCTGCACTAGATTCAGATTGCTCAGGGCTACATCCAGCCTAGCCTTGAACTTCCAGGGATGGGGCATGAGCTGGTGACGAGCTAGTTTACTTTGAAACCATGTCTCTGCATATTTGCAGCTGACCAATATTTACATGAAACAAAGTCAGTTCACAACATACAGTGCATGTCTATCAGTAGGAAGCAGTTCTCAACCGAAAAAAAACCCCTAGCTTGCAGATCATCTCAGAATTTCTCAGAGACAAACACCTGGATGAAGTTTGCCACCTGGAGCTAAACTTGCATGCTGACATACAGAAAAATATTATGAGAAAATTGGATAAACTGCAATGCCACCTTCACCTAAGGAAGGTGGCTCCAAATAACCCTAGGAGCATGTGTACCTGTAACTCCTGGATGCTGGACTCGCCAACAACTTCTGGTAAACAGAACCAATCCTGAGCCCCTGCATCACATGAAGTCCTCTGCTAGTTCCTGAAATTATAGATGATTGTGTACAGTATACTTGTTCCCAATTCAAGAGAATCCAATTTAAACACATTATTCATTACCTATCACTAATCTACAGATGGCAAAATGTCATCTTTACTCCATATACTTTGAATATTTAACTGCAAAACTGGAAAAGTTGGAACCCTCACAGAAGAGCACATAAATGATAAATAGAGATGAGAGGATCAGTGAAAACAACGTTCTTTTATACCACTGCCCAAACGAACCTTCTGCACACAAAGCTCTCTTGTTTTGAAAATGTTCCAGGATGCCAGAAGCAATTAAACAAAGACAAAAAAGACTAAAATTGATGTGGTTTCTTTCCAGAGGATTTAAAGTAGCAGAAAACAGTCTTTGTCTCACAAGAGCTGAACTGTCCATCACAGCGGTTACAGAACACTCTGACAGACCCATGATATAGAAATTGAGTACTCTGGGATAAAGTTCATGCCATAACATCATTAAACCCAGGAATCCTGATGCTCAGGCTATATCTGGGCAGGTAGGCCAGGGCTTGTTGGCTGGCCCCAACTGCCAGTGGTATGAAATTAATCTGGTTGGTGTGGTTCAATTCCCTCCTTGCAGAACCAAAGCAGCTCATGCACTAGGCACTGCCTTGTCTCACTGAACCTTTCACGCGTCAGCTACTTCTAGATTTTTCCTACCACCAGTGCCAAAATTTCCTTATTGTAATTTTAATCTATTAATTCTAATGTCATCCCTACTTGAAAATGACAATTCTTTTTCCCAATTTGCAGAAGCATTTCAGATTTTTGGATATTTATCATGCCCTTAGGTCTTCTCTTTGGAGTAAACTCTTCCACTGCCTTTCTTGTTCAATTTCTTCTCATGCTTTCTGAGTCATCTTCAGTTTTTTCCTCCCTCTCTCCACCCTACCCAGCACCACTGGCAAATACGTAAACTGGAAAGCTGTTAGTGCAGCTCTGTTCTTCACGTCCTGCCCCAGCCAGGAAACCACATGTGAGATTAAAATACCTAAAGATTCCTTGCTGATGATGTTTTCTGGACCTCTGACTGTAGTTCCTGTCCTCATTTACCTGAAGACACAGCCCTACTATAATAGGGCTATATTAGTTATATATATATATATATATTATTATATATAGTACTATAATACTATATAATATTATATAATAATATATATAACCATACTATAATCTCTGATGTTTTAAAGCATCAGATATTGTATTTGTCATGGAAAAAAGCACCATCTCTGCAGGCTTTGGATGAGTATTTGGATGAGTATTTGGATCTGTATTTCACATTTTTTGTCAATGTGCTACATGCCAAGTGCTGATAATCATTAGTTGCATACACTGCTGCTTGGCCAGCATATTCAGCCCTCAGTACTGAAAGTAACACCCCAGATGATGAAAGCATGTACAGAATACTCTGGTTTGTTCATAGCCAGTCAATGAAGCTGCTCTTAAAAAGAAGTATCATGGGCTTTACATCCTGTGTAGTGCAACAAACCAGAAACACATAGAGAGCCATGGAGCTAAAGACAAGAACAAAAGTACTTGCACTAAAACAGCACACGCGAGCTTTAACTTCAAGGCAACACTGTTCTCAAGCACCCAGTACCGTTTTTTTTTAAAGAGCTGCAGGTAAATCCACAGCATCTCCCCAAGGCAGATTGATTCATTAATGACTGCAGTCATAGTATGTAAGCTCACAATGCTGTTATTTCAACACAAGTACTCTCTGGGTTCTGTCTGGCTCCACAGCCAGCACCTGTTTCCAGCATACTCAGAAGTCAACAGGCACTACAATGGTAATGATGATCTATTCCCAGTTGGAACAACACATCAGGAATGCAAAAACCAAGTTGAAACACTGCAATGTGTATGGGTGAAAAATTCTGTCAAGATATTCTTAACAATAGCCATACTGAGGGGTACTGGAAGGAAAGAGTATCCTCTGAAGGAAAAGCTTGACCAATTATGCAAGACCATGGAAAATGTTAAAGCAATTTGCAAACAAACAGTTTTCTAAATAAAGTTTTCTATGAAACATGTTAATAAACCTTTAGGAAAATAGGCTGTGCTGCAGATTTTCTGTTGTCTGGCATCTGTCCATGTTTAGAGAAAACATTTAATATTTTCACAAGGGTGATTCTTATATATGTAGATGCATTTTTATTAGTGCCACTGGTAAAAAACAGAATATATTTTCAAATCTATTATTTTGTGTTTCTTTTTTATATATTTCATTTAAAACGCTCTTCATTTCAACAAGAAAAATAAAATCCATGAAATTTAAAGAGGATTTAGGATACTTTTCTCTTGTCACCCTCAGTAAAGTCTTTCATATTCCACTCTACCTTCAGCTGCATTTGGGTAATCCTCCTTCAGGAGGGAACAGACCAAAACAAACACTTGAGGAATGAATCTGATTCTCATTATTGTGATCCAAAGAGTCAATTTTCTCAAATGGATTTTTGTTTTAGTGGTGTTGGTCGTTGTTGGGGGTTTTGCGTTAGTTCAGGGTTTTGACTAAAATAAATGCTTCTCCTGAACACATACAAATTCTCAGGAACAGAACCCTTACTGAATTTCTAGACAGATAAGGCTTAGTATGCGAAAGACATAAACAAGGGACCTATCAACATTATTTTTAACATTAGTATTACTTTCATTACTTTAATTATTCATACTCGAGTTTGGTGTGGAATGTGTATCTGAAATCATCAAATAAAATTAAAGTCAGTCACACTGAACTGATAAGCATGCTTTCCTATACAACATAAAGTTTTAAACTAAGCTGATCAGGGAGATTTTCAAAACAAAAGAAATACAGCCTTGGTTTTTGATGGAAGCAATTGAACTGCACAGGATCAGGGTCTGAACAGTCACAGCCAAACTGGAACACCAGGCTCACCTGATTTGTACAGTACTGAGATAGTCAAAATCTGTAATTTGTTGCCACTTCACATGCTTTAACTGGAGAATAATAGCACTGAGAAGCTATTGTTTTTTTGGGTTTTTTTCCCTGCATTCTTTGTGGTTTGGGAGAGAAAAAAGTTACATTTAAAAATAGATGGAAATTCCCCAAAAGTTGAGATGAAGCAGATCTGTCCAGAATGTAACTGTGAAATGCCTAGTTCGCCATGACCAGTTCTTCTGTTTCAATTGAGCTATGAACAATCTGAGAAACAAACGGTTTCCTAACCACACAGGAGAACAAATGCAAAAGTACACTTTCAAGAAGATGATAAATATCTAATGCTTTGTCATCAGAAAGCTAATAGCTTTTAAATGTAGAAAGCTACTCCAAACAACATTCTGACTAAGAGATGATCAAGGCAAAAACCAATAGAACTTGAATCAGTCTCCAACTTACCTTGCTATTTGTCAAGTTAATTATTTAAAGACAAGATTGTTTTCTTAATTTAATAACCATACTTACACAATGACTTTAAGGCATAATCCAGCTGACTGAAGTTTTCAGTAAAATGTTTCTGTCGCTTTTTATTAGTAATAACCGGTTCAGGTTACTTCTGGCCAAAGAAACGGTCCGATAGAAAACCAGATCACTCTTGCAATATCTTCCATTAGGGCAATTTGTAAATTAAATGTAGTGTTGGCCACTGGACTCAGGAAGCCTTCCAAAAAACTTAATAAATCATCCTATCAGACAAGGTTCAACGCTCTAAGCAGGAGCTGGTAAAAGTCTGAAGCCAGAGTGTGATTTTAGATAAAGCTGCTCACATTCTAGAGAAAGAATGCCCACACTGCCCACAGAAGCTTTCATCCAAAAAGCACAAGGCAAACTTTTGGAAGACCTAGCCAAAAAGACAAAGGCTGATATTTAACAGACAGACTTGAAAAGAGAGCCCTTCAACTCCAATTCAACATGCCAACTGGAGACTCTCAATTTAACAGTAATGCCTCTAATTGCATCACTGCAACAATGCTTTTGTAAATGACATTTTGGGCTCTCAAATACTCAAGAGTATTTCTTCCATGCAATCTGGAATCATATCCAAGGATCCAATAATACTTCAATTTTCTATTTCAGTTTTCATGTGAAGAGTTTGAGGCTTTCTGTAACTGCAGCTTAACTGATAAAGCTGAATATACTTAGATGGACAAGTAATACGCAAATCCCATCATCTTTCCAGGTACAAAAGCTGATGCATAAAAGGCTCAATTGGGTTATACAGGAAAACACACAATTTCAGGAATCTGAAGTAAGACCAGCTGCACTCAAAAATTTTTAAATTCACAAATTCCTTCACAATGTAGCAAGAGATGCAAAATAACAGTTGAGCTCCCAGGCTCATTCCAGAACCTGACAGACTACGCTTTGGCTGCTCTTGAGAAAAAGACAAAACATGACTTAGGCAGTTGGTAAGTTACTGAGCAGCAAGTAGATTTTAAATCACAACTGTCTCTAGCATCGCATGTGCTCCATTGGAAACGAAAAAACAAAGTCTTTTCTTCAGAATCAGAAATCACAACTATATTCCTTGAATGAACAACAAATAGAAGCTCAAAGCCCCAAACATACGAACATTTGCGCTTTAACATTTTCCTGCCTTTAACATTTATCTGCCTGTTAAGCTTAGTATAGTGCTACTACCTAATTTTTTTTTACCTATTTGGCTTATATATTATTTCTAAACATTCCTAATATGCATTTGCTTCCAGGCAGTGACCAACCCTGCTTATTATCAGAGCCCTTAGAGTTCACATGAATGCCTAGAAAGCTTCCTGGAGCTCTACTCACCCTGCCTTTTAAACTAGACTAGTAGCCCAGGTACCTAGAAGTAAAAACAAAGACAAAAGTTAAGAGATGCATTTAATGCACCATGGTAGCATAAAGCCTTTTGGAGTAATGATAATTTAACCATTCTCTGCATTTTCTGAATGTCAGTTTATAATAATGCATTCCATTATATCAATGGCTTTGACAAGTCAGGAGAAGTAAAGTAAATGGTGACAAATAGGGAAAGTGCCAAAAAAAAAATAAAAAGAGACCGTGTTTCTCTCAAGTAAGCATTGTAGCAGACTCGTTCAATGCTCTTCCTCTGTATTAACCTACACCATGGTAAAGCAGCATAACAGCCACACAAGCACCGAGTACTGAGTAAATAGACTCTTGATGCTACCCTGCTATAATGCAAATGGAACAAATGGTCAAAGGCATTCACTAACAGTGATCATTGAAACCCACACGTCGGAACTCCTGGAGAGCACCATATTTCAGAGAGATGTTTTAAAGTATATAGCTGTACCAAAGCTGGAGACAGAACATTCCTTGTTGGATTTGATGATCAGACTCCTACTGAGGTTCCTCAAAGAAAGCAAACCCTACTAAATCAGTCCTGAATACATACTGGTTTTATATAGATATGTTTGTGAGGGAAAGAAGGAGTTCTTAATCACATCACTTATTCCAACTGGTTTTGTTCTGCATTTAGGCATTTGTTTTCAAGGTCATCCTTATTCTGAGCAGTTGGTTCCTCACTGTGGGCAACAGAGATTTCTGACTGATCTGTCTTTGTGCTGGTATCAGCCAATCCCTCTTCAGTCGAGGCGGAGCTGTGCAGCTCCTTCACGTGGAGGGTGGGATTGGTCATTTGTTCTGCGTCTTGTTGAGAGGATGGTACACTGCTGTCTTTGGGAAGCTGAGGGCAGTTGACTGGAGCTATCACCACAGGAGGCTGAGGTAGGTCTTTCTGTAAATGGAAGATCACAGTCAAAATGCTGGAAAACAAGAACTAATGTGTCCAGTTATCTGAGATAAAGGTCACACATAAGATGAAGATTAAATGTCCATCAACTATTATCATTCTCCAGCAGTGGACAGATGCATACAGTTATCCTTTGTGTTTCACAGGACACCAGGGGAATTTTTCCTTCCAGAAAAGTGTTTGCTTTCTGAGTGATTGTTCCTCACCAGTTTCAGATGTACTCTGCTGATGAGGCAGCAACAGGCACTTGGTCCTTGGCTACTGTCCACTTCTGCTCACCTTTACTATCAGTGTAAAGAACTAGCAACTTTTACATAACATTTCAGATGAACTCAAATATTTCTCTAACAATTAAATTAATTTCTATAGTGGAAGTTTGTGAAGATTATCACAAATAGTTGAATAATAAAATAAAATAAAATTCACTGGGGGAACCTTTAGCTTGATAGATTTGGCCTTCTAGTAAGAATACAAAAAGAAAAATCTTGCATCATGATAGAAATTATTCCTTTTTGAATCAAGCTAATTGCACTTGCAGCACAATGAAACAAGAGGATAATTTACTATACTGAACTACATTTCTACATTTCATAAAGAGTAAGCTATGAAAAAATATGAAGAAACTATTTTAAGGGTATATTTTATACATAACTAAACCCAACATTTTATATACTATTGAAACTTTTTACTACTACTGATACTTCCAAGAGAGATCAAACAAGTAACATTTTGGCAGAATCAAGGATAGACAAGGTCTACTTTACTTTTCACTACTCTAATTTAAGTGGTCACAAATACTGCAAAAACCAGAAAACTTTACAGAGGCAAAAAAAAAGTATATAAAAAAGGAAACAATCAAGCAAAACCAAAATCTTTGTGTGATAATACTGCAGTATTTTACTCAACTTTAATTATAGTTAGGTTTTTTATAATATTAGTATTTCCTGAAGACACTCATATCAAACTGGTATTCACCGCAAAGCCGCTGCCCGTCCAGAACATGGCAAGCTCCCTTCTCCAAAGGGCCACCACGAAGCTGGTGAGGAGAGTACAGGGCACCAGGTAGAGGAGAGCAGGTTGGCCCATCTGCATCAGTGCCAAGGCAACAAAGGTCACAAGAAGGCCTATGCCATAAGCTGGAAGAAACCAAACCCAGCAAAAACCAGTTATTCAGACAGAGCTTTGCTCAAGGACACCTAAATAATTGGCTAAAGAAGCATTCTCACTGGAACTTTTTTCAAGCAATATTCAAAACATCTCCAGAAGTTTTTCAGGCCTCTAGAGAGAACCATTATTTACACCATGTAAATAATAGGAATACTACAGTTTTCCTATCGATAATAACATGTAAAAGTAGTGTGATTGGCCTAATCTATATTATGCGATTAAATAATTACCTTAAGCAAAATAAATACATGAAGTATTGTCCCTCATGTTATATTTATGAATTCAGCAGATACAGACAAATATTTTGACCTTTATAATGTGCTTCTTGTTTGGGTTGGCTTTGGCTGTTTCTTACTATCCTGCCACACAACTGAAAAAAAGCCAGTCTGCTCTATGATATGTTTTTGTTACTTTCAATTTAATTTCTGCATAAATGTGGCAAAATTTATTTAGTAGAACAGAAGCAGCTTGGATCTCATAATGTAATTATTTTCAATTCCATTTTTAAGATAATTATGTTAATCCAACTTTTTCTTCAGATGGTCAAGAAAGACATTGAGGGGCTGTCCAGAGGAAGGAACAGAGCTGGGGAAGGGTCTGAGAGAAGCAGCTGAGCGTGGATCAGAAAGAGCCAGCACAAGGAGCTGGAGGTGACTCAGCTTGGAGAAATGGAGGCTCAGGGGGGACCTTCTCACTCTCCACAACTTCCTGACAGGAGAGTACAGTCAGGCGGGCTCCCAGAGAACAAGGGACAGGATGAGAGGATATTAGGCAGACCTTCCTCCCCAAAAGGCTTTTCCAGTCCTGGTACAGCTGCCCAGAGCAGTGGTGGAGTACCTATCCCTGCAGGGATTTAAAAGATGTATGGATGTGGCACCTGGGGAATAGAGGTGGGATTGGCAGTGCTGGGGGACAGGCTAGACTTGCTGATCTCAGAGGGTTGTGATTAGAATAATCAAAAACTCTTTACAGTTTCTGAAAAAGCTTTTTCTTTTTTTTTTTTTTTTTGGGAGGGGGGGCATACTTTGTTATTACTGAGAGTTCCTTATATCTAGTTAAAATATTTCTTATTGTGATTTAAATCCATTGCCTCACATCTTATGTGCACACCTGTAAGAAAAGTCTCTCTGTCCTCTCTGCAGTCTCCCATTAGGTAGCTGTGGACAGCAACAGAATCTCCTCTTTGCCTTCTCTTCTTTTTACAACTCTGTGCTCCAGTCTTCTGCCATCCTGATGGTCTCCACTGGATTTACTCCAGTATGTCAATGTCTGTCTGGCACCAGGGATCCTGGTTAACTCTGTCTTAAGTGACAAATTGAGAGGAATAATCACTCCTCTCACAACTGCTGACTCCATCTTGCTAACTCAGCCCTGTACGTGGCTCACTCTCAGTGCTGCAATAGCATACTGCTGAGTCTTTATCAATACAACATTTTCTTATTTCTTCAAACACATTTTTAAAGTACCAGATAAGAAAACAACTTTGTTTTACTATATATGAGAAACAATGATTTGGAACATCAATAAAAGCATCTCTCTACTCCTGCTAGAAGTGTCCATGAACCTAACTATTTTCTCAAAATAATTTCTAAAGAAGCTGTTCATGACAATTCCTCACAAAATTTACTGCAAGCATTAGAAGTCTTTGCTAGCAGAAGTACATTGTAATAAAGACAACAGGAATCTGTCAGAACCTATTCATTAGCAGCATTTAAGTTCATGGCACATACCTCTGTGGAGTTCACAAACTAAAGAAGAAAACTTATCTAGAGGTGTTATAATCACCATAATAAAATTCCCTACATCATAGGTTATGGATTTTTAGAACAGACAAGGAACTAAGAACAAAGTCAAAGAATGATATCCCTGAACCTGAATTCTCATGCACAATCAATCAAAGATTCATGAATCTAGAAACCACAATGAGCAGCTAAGCACATGTAAAGATAGTGTAACTACAAGGTAGACTGAGACCCTTGGCAGCCATGGTAACAAGAAGCTCCCCTTAGGTAAGGCAGACAAAACAGCTCAGAAAAGCAACATCAGCTAGTTTGGTGATGGAAGATCTAGCCTTGAAAGCACTTTGCTAAATATTTCTGTTTAATAATAAAAGGAGGAACAGGATAAAACCCCCAAACTGCGCCATGCAAGACTGTGAGGGAGCCACTCCTGTAGGTCTTGTGTTCAGGTGGCAGTGTGGTACATACCTATTGTGCAGGCTACAAAATAGACTCTGGATGACTGCACCTGAATATCAAATCTATGGCAATAGGCTACCAGTAAGCCTAGGAAAAGAAAGAACAGTTACAATATTATTTCAACGTAGTCACACACTTCATCATAAACATAAAACCATAAACCAGCTAGGAACTTTCAAGAACTTTTTTTTCCCCAAAAAAACTTCCTTGGCATTCTGTGTTTAAGCACCATGACAACATATACAGGAGGCTGCATAATTTACAAACCAGTTATCCAATGGCACAAGCCCCATGTGTTGGAAGCACTCCAAAAGTAAAATAAACAGCTACAAACATATAGATCATAGATAAAAATGTCATCCCGTCCCTATTAAACTTTTGAAAAAATACAGTGTTCACAACAAGAGCAAGAGAAAGTTCAGCTGACACTGAAGACAATAGAATTTTATGGTTAATGACTATGACTCTGTTGCAGCTTGGGGGCAGAAGGGGAGACTAATGGGGATGACAGATTTCATATTTCCCAAAATAAAAGAAAGTAAACAAATTATTTCTGAGGAGAAATCTGAAAGTCAGAAGGTACATAATTTTTTCACCTGCAGTGATGGCAGGGATAGTTCTACATACTATCTAAAATCAATTTTGAGAGAAGGTGTAGTAGAAATACTGGATGTCACTAACAGGAAGGTTTGAGTAGTCAGGCAACTGTACTTAAACCGTGTGCAAATGGACAAGTAATTTCCTCTATGACTACACTATTAAAAATGCTTTACAGTATAGAATCAGTTGCTAAATCAACTCCTGCAGTTTCTTTACACTGCTTGATATCACTGAACGTGAAACTGAACGATAAGATTAATGTCCATTTTTCTTGTTGAAAAGGTGAATAGTGCTTGAATAACACTACCCTTGAAGATTTATCAGGTTTATAGCAGTCAAATCAAACCTACCACTTGAAGCAGGAGTACAAGAGGAATAAACTAATATGACAGTGCAACATGTAAAATTCTTAATATGCTAAACAATACCTGGAACTAAAATGTCTCCGAATCCTAGGAGAGAAAAAGGCCTGTCACATAGAGCCAATGGTGAGGAATTCAGCCGTGGAACCTTCAGGACCATTGGGAGCTTGGAATGAAAGAGACACATGTATTATGACAAGCCTAGTGACGCTACCTCCCAGAACTTGTTCCTGTTGTACTCAAACTGCAGGCTTCAAATACAGCAAATGTATTTTTTTATACATTCATTACATACAATATTACTGACAATTAACAAAATGCATTTAAGATGGGAGTGATGAAATACTTTCTAAATGCTATGTTAATTTCAAAGTCTTCAAATACGATTTGGTATCAACTCTGTTTTAGCTGCAGGTATGTACAAAATTTAGGTAAGTTGCAACATGCATAAGAAATAATAATTTATACAGTTCCTTTACCTGGGTGCAATAAAAGTCTCAAAAGACCAAGACATGAATAATTTTAAAAAGTCATTTTTCAAATCACTTTAAAGACTCTTCCCTGCCCCTGGTGTTCCTATTTATTACATGATTTGCAACATGAGGCACAGTATACAATGGTTCATTGCAAACCTGTATTCTCGTTATAGTACATTAAAGAAGCTTTATTTTCTTTTTTCTTTTCTCATATTAGTGCCAAAACAATTTTATATATTTATACACTCATTACTGTTTTATACAATTCATTCTGTGTGTAAAGTTGAATCCAAAAGGGTATTAAAGGTACAGGAGAGAAGAACAAAAGAAGTCAAAGAAATTAGTATGGACTGTATGGATTGATCCAATTGTCCTGGAAACAATTATTTTCTTTGCTATTGACATTATCACATTCATTGTTGAAATAGATCCAATTAATCCTTAATAAACAAAACCAGGCTTTCCTACAGATTAATTTTTTTGTTTTGCTCACTATATCTCACTGTCTCCTACATCTCACATACTTTCCTCCCTGAGTCAGCCAATCTTGTAAGGTGTTCAGGCAATTGGCTGCTGTCCCACAGTGCAAACCCACTTAACTGGCTTCTGTTCTCTTCTGTCTCCAATTTGTGTTTCTCTCCTTTACCTATAGTCTCAGCTTTTCGTAAAGCAAATGTCAAAAAAGGGAAGGAGGGGGAAGAGACAGACTGATTATATGTTTTATCTCTTTAGGAAAAGATGCTTATGCTTAATTAGTAGCAAGTTAATATTTACAGATGTGGTCATGTTTTTGTGAAGCTGAGCTAACCAGCTTTCTTATATATATTGAAACCCTGCCAAAAAAAGATAAAGGAAAACCAAAGCTGGTGTGATGAACCACAAGTCTGCTTTGCCCCTCCAGAATAAACATTCATGAGCACTTATTCCCACATTAAGCTCTTTTCAGACTGGCATCTTCATTTCAGCTTTGTGGTCTTGAATTTTACAGAAGTTAAAAGTGTAACAGTTGAAACTTAGTGCCAGATTTTCAGACAACATGAAGTACCTTTTCATGAGTGGCAGAATCAGATGGGCCCGCAGCCACCTCCACCATTATACTCTCCCCAGTCTAAAGGAAAAAAAATGAGAAAATTGTAAATCAGCACTTCACTCGGCAGCTATGGGATCATTTAGGAACACACAGAGAAACAAGTCATTACACTTTGCTCTGTGGGCAGCAGGCAGCAGAGAAACATCTTACTTACCTTTGTTAGAAAAGGTGTGATAAATACAAAGAACACATCATACACAAAAAGAACCAGGAGGAGTAAGGTACAACCCTGAAGGAAGAGACAAAATATTTGGTATTTACACACTATGCATTAGCAAACAGCGAAGAATTAATAATTAGAAGGCTGTTCAAAGAAAAAGCTAACAAGGATTAAAACAAGTCATTCATATATTTTTCTTAATTCCTAAATATTCTAGATGTATACCGTCTTGCATACACCATATAAAAGAAAGTAATTCTTAAACACAAAATTACTTGTTAGTGCCCAAAATTCTTTATCATGTAAAATCTGGAAATGGTGCCATTTCATTTTACTGGGAAGCTCTGCCCTGAAGGATGCCAGGCATAGCTTGAAACATTATACACCCTCTTACTGTCAGTCTCTAAAAACTTAGAGGTGAAGATAATTTGAAACAAGAGTTTGAAGAGCTGGTTAAGGGGCAACTAAATGACTAATACTGATTTTTGTCTTAAGATACTGACTAAGGTCAGAAAGACTTAAAAAAACCCACTAGATTAATGCATTAGTTGTATGCCAATCTGAAAAACAAAATCAAAACAAACAAACAAAAAAACCCCCAACAAAATACCCAAACACCAAATACATAAATAAATGGGTGGTGTGTGATTTATGAGTCAACACTCTACAGAATCTACAGAACAATCACATGCCACTTATTGGTCTTCATTATACTCATAACATCCCTTTTTAACATGCTACATATGAATGGAAGTGCATTTCCAGGGCAATGTACTCCATTATAAGTGACTCTGTTCAAACACATACATGCAAACTTCTCTTTAACTTTCTTCTTCAAGTCTTTAACTTCTCTTTAACTTTCATACCTTAAATGTAGGCAGGCGAATTGTTTTCAACATGTAAAGACAGAAAGCAATTCCTAAAGCGTCTTGCAGAACCCAGGCCCACCTTAAAAAGAGAAGAGTAACATTTTTGCAGGAAACAGCAGGAAAAGCAGACCAAACCTTGTCCTCACTCAGGACCTGCTTGGGACAAAAAAAACCCTCCTTAATTCAAAGTACTTGCTTAAAACTGACACTGTTGTCAGCATGAATTTGCAAATGCAAAGTTGTTCTTCATCAACCTGATAACCTTCCACAAAGAAGTGCCTGGGAGACAAGGGAAGAACTGTGCGATAGTGTCTATCTAGACTTCAGTAAGGCTTTCAATCTTCTCTAAAATTCTCACAGAGAAACTGATGAAGTACAAGCTGAATGAGCAGTGAGGTAGACTGAAAACAGGCTGAATAACATCAGTGGATACCAAAATGGGAAATCCTGGGGTCCTTTGTCCTGTGTATAGGTATATGCACCCTTGTGTGCATGAGGCAAATTTACAGCTGGGCCTGTTTTTCAGTTTTGTTTTGCAAGTTGAGTATAGAAGTGCTCTTCACTTTACTCTCAACTGCTTGGGTCAAAGAGAAGTAGGATCTGAGATAGTACTAAAAAAATTGCTAGGGTCTAGGTACAACGAGAGATGATGCTGTTGGATCAATACCTGTGTACTTTTTGATGGAGCTTTGTGCAGGAGACACTCAGGCCCACTTCAGCTCTGAGGCAGAAAATGGATTTCCTAGTCCTAAATATTGCAGGTTGGAACACCTCTATAGTAGAGTTGTACTCCTCAGTCTGACACTTATCTCTCTAAAAGGTCTTTCAGTTGATGATTCTGGGATTTGAGTTCTGTCATTCGATGACCCACACAGAACACAGATCCCAAAAAAGCAGTAATATGCATTCAAAGCACAAGTCACACATCTTTGGCATCGTCATCAGAAACACAAGCCAGCTTTTCAGTTCCAACAGTGAACCCTCAATAGAGGAATCAAGAAGATGAACACAATAGTGCTCATCATGCCATACATGGGGAAATTGGAATATCTGGGAGTGAGGTAGGAGGTAAAAAACCCCGAACAAAAATGAAAACACAACACTCCATAAAAGATCCACCTCTAACCAAAGTGGTAAGAACATGCTACAGCTCAGTACTACAGCAACACTGGATACAGAGAATTACTGACTCATACATGAAAGCTGAGAGAAACTAAAGATCTGACAATCTTACCAGCTCTTATTCTCATGAAGAAATAAGCTAGACAAGTTGTAATCCAACTTTCCATATCACTTCTGAAAAGCTGTCTTAAGTTAAAGAGATCAGAATACTGACTGGAACTCAGAGAAATTCAAGCTTAACAAGAGACAGTTTTCTGTAATTTAAATGAACAAGAAAAAGATAAAGTACATAAGGAACAACTAAGAATTTCTGCCTGTCTCTACTTCTTTTTCCTGTCATTCCTAATTTCTGGATACATGTAGACTTCTGTGAATGTCAGTCGCTTATACTATAAAGCATATTACAATTTTTAGTACAGAAACTAAAATGTACACTTACTGATCTTCATTTCTGAAGATTCCCCAGACTACACTGACAGAGATACAAAATACTGCCAAGAGCAACATCCGGACCTGAGGACGCTTGTGAAAATAAGGCAAGTTGTTGTCTGGGATTCTGAAAAAGAAACACACCAAAGCTACAGTTGTCTATGTAGATAGCCTCTTCCTTTATAAACATTTTGAAGCATTAAGCCACCTTTTAAACCCCACACCTACCCAAAAGTATAAAAACCTAAGTTTCCTATTAAAATTTTCAAAATTGCCACATACCTACACTTTCCCAAGGGGAATCTTCTTACAAAGGGAGACAGACAACTGTAAAGACCAATCGAGGCAGCCAGGCAGAATATTCCTATTATAACATAGACTGAGGGGAAAAAAGTATTAAGTCCAAGTAGGATAAGGCAAGAGATGCTTTTTTTGTATCCTGGCTGAATAAGGAACAAATAGTCAATAAGACTAAATGAGAAATAAGGCTTAAATTTCAATAGAGAAAGCTAAATTCAGAGACTTCAAAGAATTGATTGGAGTCATGCTCTTTAAGTATCTAATTCTATAGCTCCTTTTACTCAGGTGTACTTTATGCAATGCCTACTCAAATCAAAACTTCTATCCTAATCTTTTTAAAGTAAGTCATAAGCTTCAAAGGCAACCCATGGTGAAGCATTTATCTTCTCTTTATGAACATATAGGAGCATTATAAGGGAATATTAAAATCACTAAGTAGCAAAATGAACCAACACAGATGGGATGCATGTTTCACTACTTCCTCAGAAATACAAAGAAGCATTAGGCACTCATATTTTTTTTGTCAATCTGATGAGAGATCAACAGAAAATTATAATCTTTATAAAGATAAAAAAAATTAGGTCTGAGAACACTTTAAAAAAAAATAAAAGGTGGAAAATACTAAGTCTGTATCTACTTAATAGCTTTAATGTTTGAAAGAAGATTTATGACCAACCTCACAAAAAGAAGGATTAGAAATCTACTCAGTGAGTTTTCTTACAGTATTTTAAATCACATTGGGATGAAGACACGTAACAGAAGAGAGATGTTTCATTATTATTTTCACAATAAAATGTTCTTTGAGTGATGTCAGCCTTGTGATATTGAAGATTCATCAATATAAACACAACCTTAGGAGTACCTAAGTGGTCATAGAAGAAATAAAGGAGGACGAGCATTGAGCAGCACATCACTACAAACACACAGATCATTATGGGAGTCACATCCACTGTTTCATCATCATGTTTCTCCGCCCCATCATCACGCTTGTGCTTCATGTACCTCCTGAAAGAGTAACATGGCTATCATCAGTTCATTCCTTCTGCAACAAAATACACAAGGATGTCGAATCTTCAGCAAAAAACACAAGGGGTTGAAAACACATTACAATACCAATGCCTGCTTTGATTTCCACTCAAGTCAGTCAAACACCACATTTTCCATGAATGTATGAACATCAGCTGTAATGCAATGCATAACCCAGTAACTACTTAACTGCTGTGTTAACTTATCTAGAGTAGTATTTCATTTCAAAAACTCAGCTGAATCCTGGAAACTAGCAGAGAATAATTTGCTAACTTCAGAAGAAATCCTTCAATCAGGTTGTGCATACAAAATAAATGTTGGAAGTAACTGTGGCAGAATGACCTCGTTCTCCCAATCCCACCTGCAGAAAAAAGTAACCATAAAATTTCCTTTAAAAATTGATAAAAAACATAGCTTATGTTAGCCATCCAATCAATTTGGTTTGCCAAATTTGGTTTGTATACCAATAAAAGCATATTTTATTATTTTTTACGAAGTATTTTTGTGTTGAATTTTTGCAAAAGCCTGAACAGGAAGCCTATTACTAAATAATTTTCTTTCTGAGCTTTTCAAATGTTTGGTCTTTTAACATGGCAAAATCCTAAAATGATCTGCATTCCATTTATACTCTGATGATTTCCTACAGTGACCAAACCAATGCAAGGCCCAGGGCCTTTCAAACATCACATCAGCATTTTCTCATTCTGGCTACGGAGTCTCCTAATCCTAACCTCACTAGCAGATCTGCCAGATGATGCTTACATAAACACCGTCTATTTTTCTCATTCTGTAAAAAATACAGGAAAACTGGTATACTGCATTCAGTTACTCACTTTTTCACATCTCTGCTTCCTGCCCAGTAGCCTCCAATTGCAACAGTCCCCACGGCCATGACAAAGATTATCACCATGTTGTAGTCCAGCACAGGCTCATTTGGTGCATACATTGCTCCTTTCACTGAGCTGCCAAAACTCTGTGGAGGTAAATAGTAGTTAGGAAGGACATCCAAAAAGCCACCTTAGCAAAGGTTCACTTATTTAATTTTCACCAAGCAACCTCAGAATCAGGCTTTGTCGCAGACACATAAGAGCCATCTATTGGCTCTTCTATTAGTGATATTTATTTCCAGCACCAGGCTGTATTTTGATTTTATTCCAAAGATGAGAAATAACCTCCTAAGAGATTTGAATTTGTTTTTCCAAAACACAATAATGCAATCTCCATAAATACATTCTCTTCATATTCAAAACTCTTAAGGTGGACTTAATACTGTTGAGCAGTGACTCATTGACGTGACATAATATAAATGAGAGCTTTTAGTATTAAGTTTACCTTGCCAATATCTAACATATCAGTATAGCTAAGCAGAGCCACAGGAATATCAATCTCTTCATACTGACTCCTATTACCTCCAGGAGGAACCTGAAAGACAGTTCAGACCAGGTAAGCATATGTTTATTTCTGCAAATACTTCTACTTCTTCAAAAGGGTTGAAGTTGCAAGTTCTGTTCCTGCTGATTTGAAAAATATTCTAGAAGGGAACTTAATGACAGCTAAAAGTCAAAATATATGCCTGTTCCCAGTAAAACAGAAGTAATGTAAGACTGTAACGGCAAAATACAGCAACCAAATTTCAAGCAGTATCTTTTGCACATCAGGCTCATGGGTTTATGACTGATGTGTGCCTCTAGTATTGACCAGGACTCAAACCTACTCATTTTATTTTCAAAACTACTCATTTTACAAATATCATGCTGTTGATGCTCCAGCTGAATCTAATGCACTAGATTCAGTGTGGTAGTATGATGAAGTCACAAATCAACTTCATCCTTTGACTCCAGTGTATCATTTTGAACAAGGGTAATTCCTTGACTTGAATGTCACATGAGCTCCATGCCAACTCCTCCTACTTAAATGAGTGACTCTTGTTTCATTCATTCTTCCATCAGATGTATGGTTTCCACACATAACTATGCAAGGTATGTACATGCAGGAATACACATGAATTATTTACTTTAAAGAAGAACATCAAATACCAGCAATGTGCACTGAAGACAATATCAGAGGAGTATCAGCAGCATAGGAAGATAAAAAAGCAACTTACCAGTCTCTCTCTACTAACAATCAGCAGACCACGAGCTCCATTTATCTGAGCAAGCCTCACTTTTTCATAGAAGGTGCAATTTCCTCGCATCACCATGGGTATTTGATTATTAAATCCCCCATCAGGTACATCAGAAGGAGAACACAAAACAGATGCTGTCTGATCCTGCAGTTGCAAGAGTGACTGAAAAAAAAATAAATTAGTTAAATACATATATATAACATGAAATAATAAAAGAAGTCAAGAGCAGAAGCCAGAGTTTCTAAAGAGTAATTCAAAGCTTTCCAGTAATGGAGTGGTAGACTATTCTCAGAGCAACATGAATGCTGAAACAATGCTGCCTTCTCTATTATGTAGGGTCCTGCCTTGTTTCACCTTGTTGTACAGAATTCCGCTGGTAATAAAATTTGGGATATGACCTTCACTTGCATTTACTTTCTTCAGCACTGTTGCTGTTCTGATGCACACAGCCAGGTTGTGGGAGGAGTACAGCAAGCTTTTATCTTTTCTGGAGTGGCAGAGTGGCAGGCTGGGATGATGGAGGGTATGAACAGCTAGAAACTAAAACACAGGCTGGAGAAATGTACAGAAGCATAGGCAGAAAACTTCCACGTTGAAACCTACTGTATTCAGTGACCTGAGATTTTGCATCCCAAGTACCTGAATACTGAGCTACTTCTCTCACCACTTGTGATCCAGAGACATTGCCAGGCCATCCCAATTCTTTAGTTTTGGCCCTCCACAGGCCCAAATACATCTCATCTGGTGTGTTTCAACAGAACATCCCAAAGACACTTCAAGGTTTTAGAAATTACACTGGCACAAATTTTTCTTGCAAGATCTAAACAACCACCAGCATCTTTGCCCAGTTCTACCTGCAAGTTACCTGAAATCTGTAATTATCTACCAAACAACCAAGCTGTGCTAAGAGAAGCAAGTGTCAGGCCTTGCTGAGGTAAGCTGTTAGACTTGAGAAGAGTCAAGATAAAGTTTTAACCTGAAAAAATTATACACGGAACAGTTTGTATTAGAAATCCACAGGTACATGATGTATAATACCTGTGTAAGACTCTAGTGTTTTAGGGGGGAAAGGAAGTGTCAGGTTGTTAGTAGCTTCAACCTTTTTCAGAAAACTTCTGTCTCCAGCCTGACCTCTAGAGACAGTGAAATGCTCCTACCCACACTTCACGGTTGTCCAAGTTTCAGGGCACAGAGCACAACACAAATGCAGTGTGAGCTCAGAGTGGTGCACTGCATTGCCTCAGTTAATGAACTATACTGCTGGAGTACTGAAGGAGGAGGAGCAAGAATATGAAAGAGGGGAAAAGCAGGAAAGAACCAAGGAAGGAGACAGGGACAGGCAAGGGATACAGAATACACTACCCAAGTGTCTGTGCAAGCTATTCTGGACTACATCAGCTCCTGCAGAGTTACTGAGATATGACACTAGTGAATTTTTATGAGACTGATTTAAATGAAGTGTCTACAGTACAGTCCCCAACTCTCATAAGTACCACAGTCAGTCATGCATGTGCTCATTCACATTACACAGTCAGGGCAAGTGCAAGAGTTTATCAGCTGAGTCTGTACAAGGCAAAGACAACTACTGATGTAAGTAAGGACTAAGGTACAGTTGCAATAAACCCACCAGAAGTAACTGAGACATGCCTATACATTGGTAAGGAACTCTAAAAATTCAGTGGGGCACTCAGCTGGCTGAATAAAATGAACCAAGTATCAGTCAACTACATCTTTACCCATTAGTAGCTCATTCAAAGTGCATTTGCTGATTTCATCATTCAGTGCCCAGTAACTTTTTCTCATAGAAAGCAGTGAAGAATTTACTAAATTATCAGCTCATACAACTTAGGATAATGCAGCAAAAGCTTGACACAGTTTAAGACTACTTAACCTTAAACTTGACAATGAGAAAGCACTAAAGGCCACAGTTCGCTATATAAGAAAAGGCATGTGGTATCTTCTTGTATCATGCTGATGTACAAAAACTCCTTTGCAAGTACAGATATGTGCCATTTTAATTTCATTGATCACATAATTGAAAAGGAGTATTTTTGTTTTGAACAGCAATAGTCATTATCTCTGCACAATGCCAGGAAATACGCATTGCCATCCTAGCACTGCCTAATGATCTTAAGAGATAAAATATTTTCTAAGCAGAGCAAACAAAGCAGTTGCTTCAAGTTCTACTAATCCAAGTACGAAATCAGAAGTTTCCTAGCAACAAAGGCATTTTTTATGCATTTTTTGTCATCAGTTAGCTAGGTACTTACAGCTTTACCCAGATCATGTGGCAAATGGGCCCACTGAGAGTTGAAGAGAATACAGTAGTCTTTTCCTTTGTTGCTCCCCTTCTCTGAAAGGACATGTACCATCCCATACTCACAGTAGACCTGAAAATGTAACAAAAATTTCACAAGAATTTTAGGTTACATAAAATATCAGAAGTGAAGGGAGTAACTTGCTGTTGATTGGCCTGCTTTGTATTTTTAAAGAAAAACAAAAGTCTACAAAGTTTCCATATCTGTGCAGGGAGTACAGTGGAATTTGTTATTATTTCCAACATGCTTCAAAGAAAGACTTCAGATACATTAGGCAAATTCTGTGCTACACAGCAATTGGTCAAAGAATCAAATGTAACAATACTGGATATGTTTGAAGGAAAAAAAAACAAACCCAACAAACCAAAAAGCGAACCTCAAACAACACAGCTAGATTGGTGCACATATGTTTTATAACCACAGAAAGGGAAAGAAGCTGGACTATGGCAGAACAGATATGAAACTTTGAGCACTGTTTAGCTCTGGGGCTCCCAACATCAAAAGGACATGGAACTGCTGGAGCCAGTCCAGAGGAGGCCATGGAGATGCTCCAAGGGCTGGAGCCCCTCTGCTCTGGAGCCAGGCTGGGAGAGCTGGGGGTGCTCACCTGGAGAAGAGAAGGCTCCAGGGAGAGCTCAGAGCCCCTTGCAGGGCCTAAAGGGGCTCCAGGAGAGCTGGAGAGGGACTGGGGACAAGGCATGGAGGGACAGGATACAGGGAATGGCTTCCAGTGCCAGAGGGCAGGGCTGGATGGGATATTGGGAAGGAATTGTTGGCTGTGAGGGTGGTGAGGCCATGGCACAGGGTGCCCAGAGCAGTGGGTTGCCCCATCCCTGGAAGTGTTCAAGGCCAGGTTGGATGTGGCTTTGAACAGCCTGGCCTAGCCCACCCCACATCAGGGGCCTGGAACTAGATGATCTCTAAGGTCCCTTTCCAGTCAAACCATTTCATGATTCTGTGAGTAAGACACCAACTCCTGAAAGTACAGCCTGAAATAATGATCAATTCTAGATCTGCATAATTCCAAAACTCAACCTTGGACACCTTTGGTGAAGATGTGGCAAGACCCCACAGCAGCAGCAGCAGCTCTTTTTCTGTCCTAGGTAGCACATATAGACTCTCAAGTCTACCTACTGCATTTACTTATCACTGCTTCAAAGACCAGTTGTCACTGTTGTCAAAACTCCAACATCTGCAAGTAGTGAAGATTACATATCTAAGATTCATAATTAAAGGCTTGTCCTGGGTCTGGCTGGGATGGAGTTAATTTTCTTTATAGCAGCTGGTATGGTGCAGAGTTTTAGTTTAGTGCCCAAAACGATGCTGATAACAAACTAATGTTTTAGCTACTGCTGAACAGTGTGCATACTATCAAAGCCTTCTCTGTTTCTCGCCCTGTTCATCCAGTGAATAGATGCCCAAGAGGTTTGGAAGGGGTCACAACCAGGCAGATGATTCAAAAAAGAGATATTCCATACCCACAGCATTTCACATTCATTTTTAAAAGGAGGTTAGCTATCTTTTGCATCATGTACATGTTAGAATTCTCCTGAAGAACTCCTGGAGACTGAGATAACATAACCCAGATCTTGTAGTAACAAGGAAAAAGAGAACCAGAACTACAGCAAAAATAAACAGTAACATGCAGCAAATCTACCAGCTTTAGACATCTCAGTTGTGATACACTGTATGTAACCTGTTTGTTCAGTGAACTGCTCACACTACATCTAACTGCAAGATGTGCTAATTTTAACACAAATACTTCCAGCTTCCCACCCCTGCAAAAAAAAAAAATACAGCAAACACAGTAATTTCCTCATAATTTTAGTTATGTCAGATTGTACCAAGCCACTTCCCAGCAAAACTGAAAGATCTGGGGACTCACAAGTAGGTATTAGCAAACACTTCCTTAACACAGACATTTTCACAAATCTTATTCTTCATGATGAGGTCTGTTATTTTATATGTCTATTCCTATCCTTCCCTTCCCTGTGTGTAAGGACACAATTTTGTGAGTACTAGGTATATTTCTCATCTTCCACCCTAAAAGCTGAACCAAAATCACCTACAAGACTATATATATATATGTATATACATATATATACTATATATACATATGCATATACATATATATGTATGTATTTATGAATATACATAACCTGCAAAATAAAGTACTTTTGTGGAGTTGATGCAGTTGTCTGTTTGTACCCCTAATCCTAGTAGATGTTTACCCAGGGAATCAGAATGTAGGGAGACAAACAAAACAACAGTGGAAGTACATACAATTTCCCTATCACTAGTGGTGGTTTTAACTCTAATTAGTGGTGACTTCATTCTCATATTAACTGAGCCAAAATAATTGTAAATCCTCCCTGATCTTGGAAATGGTTGAAGAAACACAAAGTATATCATGAGGTTTGTTTGTACTGTTCTAAGGGCTCTGAAATAAATCCTGGCCATTTCTAACTGGCAAACAGGCCCCTTGCAATGCTTCTCCCTCTGACAAGGGGCTCTTGTCCTCGCTTGCACAAGAAGGCATCAGAGCATCACTTTAAGAATCAGCCATCATCAGCAGCACTGGGATTGCAGGCTCTGTCTTGGGAGGACTGTCAGGCACCATCTCCACTCACTGAAAAAGTGTAAGTTCTGAAGTCTTTCCTTTATGCAAAACACTGAACATCAGCTCCTCAGTGCGAAGTGTGCCCATATATGTTCTGTGACCATCTGGTCAGATTTAAACATCAACACATTAAGAATTAAATTTCAGACTAAGATCTGATCAGCTGCTGCAAAAAGATTTTAATGCTTCAGATAAAAATATATTAAGATACAAAAGCAGTGCTCAGAAAGCAGGACAAAACCTTACTTTTAAAATGTAATTCAATTATACAAATCCAGATCAATGCTTCTTTTTGAAGGAGAGTCTTGCTGATCTTCAGTTGCTGCTTTAGAGCCTCACAGTGCTCTTACAGAGCAATTTAAATTTTCAAGTCGTGCTGTCTGGTAATAAATTATAAAAGGATGATGCTGAGAGCAAATGCAAATCATATCTGTATTTTATCTTCCTACAAGCTATTAGATAGTCAGGAAAAAATTGGCCACATATTAAATGTAGCAGTCTCAAAATACTATTTCAGCCCACTGATTTGGAAATCTAGTCCTTAGGAATACCAAATACTGTTAATGTAACTGGATTCTTCCTATTACCATTTTTGTGTTCCCAGAGCATTTGTTTCCTATTGTAATGGGAAGTTTCTCCATTTTATTGAGGACATTCACTAATCCTTACTAGCACTTTGCACTTGGAAATTTGTTTAAAAACATACATAAAATATCTGAAACGTGTACAATAAATGATCTGATTCTCATCTGAACTAGTCACACATTCGGTTTCCAATGGAACACTGCCATCCACTAGTAACCCCAGGACACAGGATGACAACAAGACCATCAGTTGACAACGAGCAGCAGGTTCAAAATCAACCAACCAACCAAAACCCCCTCAAACCAACCAACCAATCCCCGCAATCATCTTATCTTTCTACCATCCACCTTTGTATCATATGTCTCTCTACCCATACACCCAACTCCTTCTTTTACATTCTTCCTTCTCTCCTTCTTCTGTCCAGCACTCAAGCAGAACTGAAGTCATTGACTGAAGATATGTTTAATTGCTCTATTGCTCTGCTTTAGCTTTTCCCAAGGAAATTACTTTGTGCCTACCAGAATTGATGAAACTTCATTCTAGAAAGAAATATAACATTATATGCCTAACCATCGCTGCTACTAATTAGAAAGTTGTGACAGACTAATTAGTCAGCATCTAGTTTAACATTCATAACTTAAACAAGCCAATGATTTGATAATTATGCAGTTACACTCTTACAAATACACCTTACACATCTGTTTCTTCATGTAGCAGCCGATTAACAAGATGTTAAAGATGACTGGAGTCAGCAACAATGTCGTATCTTAACATGCTTGTTCAAAAATCCATTAAAAGAGTTCACCACTCTTATTTCTCCCTCTTTATTTCAAACCCTATTACACAGAAGTTACTATGCACCCCTAGGAGACACTCAGAGTAAAAAGATATTTTTTGGAAAACTTTTGAGAATGACAGAATGGTTTGGGTTGGAAGGGAGCTTTAAAGGTCACCTAGTCCAAATCCTTGGCAATGGGCTGGGAGATCTTCAAGTAGACCAAACCTTGTTCAACCTGGTCTTGAACACTTTCAGGGACAGGACACCCACTTCCTCTTTGGACAACCTGTGCCAGTGTTCTACCACCCACATTGTAAAAAAAGCTCTTTAACATACATAGTGTACGTAGAGGCAATGATGGCATTCTGCAAGATGTCAGCAAAGCAGTAAAGAAATGTCATTGTAAGAACATACAGGAGGCAGAGATTTTTATATTAACTCTTCTGCATATAAATGGTCTTTGTTAACATAGGCAGCAACTTTTTCCCTTTTTTATAACGTTATTGTTAACTAAGTCCTTTAGAACCAATGACATTTGTCCTGAAGCATGCTGATATGGGAGGTCACACCGATTAGCTCAGTGCAGAGTAAAGCCACTAGAGCACAGTGCAAGTTTTGAAGATATCTGTGGAGAAAGGGAGACACTAATTGTGCATGTGCTGTGAGGAAACAAGAACTCAAACTCCCTGCTGTAGTGGACTTGTTAACTCATATCTCAGGTACCCAATTATAGCACCTAAACTACTTTCAACAGAAGCTAGGAATTTAGAACTTACCTATACTTATTATCTTGAATTTTACTTCCAAGAGTAATAAGCACCAGAGATGCAAATACAATCACACACGAAAGACAAGAACAAAATAATGTTCCCTGCTTATTGTGCGTGGTCTATTTGGGCTTAGATAAGCAAACAAAACATGGAGTATCTTAGTTTTGAATATTACATGTACAATTCTCTCCAAAATCTTCAGGCAGTTTAGCAGGAGCTAACTCCTGTAATTGAACAGCTTTATGCATATAGGAAACAATCAAGCTGTACAGTTAGAAGTTTTACATCTATAAGATATATGGCACACATCTTTAAAACTTAAGTACACAGTGTGTTACTACATTTCCATGAATATAACCATTACTGGAACTTAGGAATAATTCCTAAAAGGCATCCAGGAGAGACTTATACACAATTTTTCTTTCTGTGCTATTTAATATTAATATTTCTCCAGAGAAATATTAAGGGAGTAAAAGGTTCCTAATGTGAAGTGCTCAAAACATTTTAGAAGCTATGCGGATTTGTGTGTCAAAAGCCAAATAAAAGTTAAGCATGACAGGAATTAAAGGCAATATGAGCAGGGCTAAAAGCAGAAGAGAGAACACAGTTTTAAAAATTGTGGAGAATATAATCTGTGGATAATGTGGATTAACAGATGTTTTTACAAAGCTATTATCACTTAGAATCAAAGCATAGTTCTGAAGTTTGTTCTTATCCACTTTGATGCATCCAGTTTTGTTTTTATTCATGTCAGCAGGTATGGGACAACAAAAGTTCAAAGAAGTGCTGCTGATGCACTGGCATAGTGGCAACATTTATGATGATTCCTTATTCCTAGAGACCACTTCATATCCTCAATGAACCCAGGAGAAAATGTCATCTCTTGTGCAGATCCTATACAATGTGCCTACAACCCCAAAGGCTCTTTTCCAAGTGTTTGGATATCAAGTCCAGCCTTTTCCAAACACAGAAAAACAACAGCTGCTGTGATAATAAGGTATATTATAATACTTGATTCCTACTGATCCTATGGCTTACAAAGCACACAGTAGTGTAAAATTAACACAAAAGGAAGTGTTTTCCATAAAGCTGCAAACCTGGAAAAAGTTTTTCTCTGAAGGCAGAATTTAACAGACAAACAAGCTAATCTAATGTTTGTGGTAATAGAAGGGTGTACTTGTTGGCTCTGACTCTCATCAGGGCCTTCCACAGATTAATGCATAAAAGAGAAGAATACTGCCCAGTATTTTTTTGCTGTGCAAGTCTTTTTTAGGTGAACTAATGTAGCTCACAGGCAAGCACTGGACTTGCAAGTTAAATGATCAAAAAAGGTGGAGAGGAAGAATTAATCTTATCTGTATTTCAAGAAACTTCAGTGTGAGTGACTGAGCCAACCTAATGTCTGTCTTGCTTGTTCCTCCCTGCCTCTGGCCCCACACTCACCTAGGATGTTCTACACAACTTTTCTGCTTTCAGTAGCTCTGTTAACTGACCTGGTCACCCACACCTCAGAGAGATTTCACAGACACTGGGAGCTGTGTTCCTTGAAGAAGGAATGAATGAGCTATGCTAATCTTACAGCAGGTACAATGTGAGAGTTCCCAGGAGCTGGAGTCATTCTTTCCCATGAACTGCAGTGATCCATCTGGAGATCAACAACAGCAGGCAGCAAAACTGTACACAAAACAGTCCTTCAACAAACACTGTACAGTGCAGACAGCTACATATTCATAATGCAATAATTCCAGGAGACTAAATTGTCAGCCACCACCTTAATGCAGAATTTCAGACAGTCTTTCCAATTGTTTGGACCCACATCATAGAGTGCCCTAATTTAAAATACAAACCCATCATTTCAATTCAATATATTCTGCTGAAAGCTGCTATAGTGAAGGCCAGCTAGATCCAACACACTCACTGCAGATCATGTTACTATGTTTGTCACTAGTCAAAGGCTCACATATCATGTTGCTCTTGTAACTGAAGGGAAACACACCTGGAAGGGATGGGAACTTAAATGAAATGTGAAAACTCAAATACCAAAGCAAGATCTAAGTGCAGATTGTAGTTGGATCTATAAGATCACACCACTCTTAAAGTGTTCCCAGATGAGGACCCAGATTTGGAAGACCCATGTTTCAGTAGCCAGGTGGATCCTTCTCCCTAAATGAGAATATAGAAGCAAATGTGGACACTACCTCCTCTCGCCCCAGGGAAAAAAAAAAAAGAAAAAAAATTCAATTTCCTGTTTCAAGGAGGGAGACAAAGGTATATGCTCACTAAGGCAAGAGTAAGGCACTGAGAATGAGTACAGCTGGCACACAGCAAACGCATACAGCAGCTCTTGTCAGCTTTGTGCCCTGGAATAACTCCAGCCATTAATCATGGGAGTACCACACCAGGAGTGCAGCACTCTTCTTTGCCTCACGCTAAGGAGGATGTACTACCCAAAATCATCCCAAGTGCAAACACAAGAGATGCAGAAGTAATGCACAATAAGAGGTATTCAAGAAAATTTTTTAAATGCCAGCTTGGCTAACAAAAACATATTGGCAGCACACAGTACATCCACTTTTCATAGCAGCAGCATGATTGTTTCAGCATCCTGGCCAGTCTGCCCAAGCTTACTCAAGTACGTTAGCACTTCCACTGCACATATATACCAAATGCTTACAGAAAGGAATGTGCTGCAATGCATGGCGCTGAAGGCAAGATCTCCAAGTACTTACCAGCGGACTATCTCACCCACTGTCCTTCTGCACTGCCATGTGCTCACCTTCCCCAAATCAATGGATCAAACTGATTCCATCCCAGTCTTTGACTTGTTCTTGTTAATTTCTTAATCGAATTAATCTTGTTAATTAAATCTTATTAATTTGTGGGGCCTACACTGGCACTAACAGTTCCTCTGAAGCATCAGTGGAGCTGACAAAATGCATGCAGTATGCAAGAGCATAATGAAGAGGTAATTAAGATAAAGATAATGGATGAAAAAAAAGAAGATGATACAGAAATAAAGAAGTTAGCTGACAACCAGACCACTCTGTAACTAAAGATTATTGGCAAGAAATCAGTAAGGAGACAGACAGAGAAGAAGGAAAAATTAGAGTTCCCTGTTAAGATGTTACACCTGTAATATTCAAGACATAGTACACTTCAAATTACTTACTAAACAGTCAAGAATTTTAAATGACACATTAAACAACATTTCAAAATTTTTAGAACAGAAAATACCGAACTAAAAAGCAAAAGCTATGTACCAGGCAATACAATTGCTAGAAATCCACTCTCTCCTGTATCAGGATTACATGCCTAGTTTGTCACACCCTCAGAAATCTATCTCACAAAACTAATGTTTTAGTAACGACAGTACAAGACTCAAGATAAACTACAGCATCAGGGTCAGCAGAAATCTCTTCTGCTGAATGCTTCCTCATAGGGAGTCTGTCAGTCGGGATAAACCCAGAGTCGTCCCTGCGGGGATCCAGCCCGGGGATTCGGCTGCGCTCCCCTCCCTGGGGCTGCCTTACGAAGATGCTGGGCTGGGCCCACCAGGGCCTTTAAGTTTTAAGAACTATGAAGAAAACGCTAGTTAGTACGGAAAGAATAAAAAAGTCTCAAACAACCCCAGACCCACAGATATATCGACACTTGCAAATCGCGGAGGGCAGGGCCGGCAGCCCCATGCACTCGGCTGCCGTCCTGCAGCTACAGCTGGGCCCCGGCCTGCTGCAAGGCGACTGCAGCACCTCAGGGCGCCCGCGGGAGGCGGCTCCGGGAACAGACACACTGCACGGCCCGTACGCGGCGGCTCCCCGCCCTCAGCCAGAGTGCCCGCGGGTGGCTTGGGGAGGACACAGCCCGGCACAGTCACTAACCTGCGGCAGCAGATGCAGGAGCATCCACAGGCGGAGCCGGGCCGGCCGCGCCGCCATGCTGGGCCTGCTGCGTCGCCGACGCTTTGTTCCGACCTGGGCCGGGCCGGACCCTTCCGCACCGGCTACCCAGAGCCCGCCCCGGACGTCCCGCCCCAGCGCGCCGAGCCGCCAACGAGCTCCGACGAGGCGCGACGTCACTTCTGGCGGTGCCGAATGAAATGGCGAGTGGTGGTGGTGGCGGCGGCGGCGGTGGCGGCGGCGGCGCGGGGAAGATGGCGGTGAGGAGTAGGGTGGCTCGGGTCTGGCGGCCGTGCCGGGCGGGCCGTGCCGGGCGGGCCGTCCCGCGGCCGCGGGATCCCGCAGGAGTGTTCTTGGGCTGTGTCTCCGTGGATGGCGCGCTTTAACTGGGCCGCCTGTGCTCTGCCGTAGGATAAGGAGAAGAAGAAGAAGGAGAGCATCTTGGACCTCTCCAAGTACATCGACAAGACTATCCGGGTGAAGTTCCAGGGCGGGCGGGAAGGTGAGCCCGGCGCGTGGCTGCAGCACGAAACTCTTGCCTTTCGGCGTTTTCCCTCAGCTGATGCCTGTCGGCTCTGCCCTCCTGCTCACGCTGCTTTCCTGTCAAGGGAAGGAGAGGAGTAGCGGGTGCTTCTACTTATTAGTAGTTGCAGTGGTGTGAAGCTTCTCTCGTTTAACTATTCTATTCATCTCCTGGATGCACTTTTATCCTTATGGCTCATCTGTGCGTCTCTTTTATTACTTGTCTTGAACAGCTTTATTTTGGCTGGTTTGTTTGTTTTTGCATTGCAAGGGTGCACTTAAAGGAACAAAGAAACATTTATAGATGTAATAATTAATATAATTATCGTGCCTTTCACCTCTTGACATGGTAAGCATGGCCGGGATTCATGGTTCAATATATGCCATCGTGTCTTTCCATCCTCATCCCTTCACAGCTGGGCAGGTACATCCCAATGCGGTGCCAACTGCAGGTGCTTGTTTGTCCGAGTTAACCATGTGCTGCATTTTAAAACTCCATTAGGACCTAATGCTTAGAAGGGTTTGGAAGCTACTCAAACTCCTTAATAAATGTATTTGTCAAACTGGGAAGTATCTCTGTGTAATTTTGTGCTACATTTACTGACTAGTCTTGTGGAATCACATTCTTGATTAGGACAAATCCTGCTGGTCTATCTGCAGTGCCTTTCCGTGAGGCAGTGTTTATGCTAAAGACATGATGCTCCAGGAGAGCACCTGGAAGATGGGATTTCTGAGGAAAGAAGATATGGTCTTGCTTCGTGTTTAACCATAACCTTTCATTAAGGATATCTATTTTGTTTTGGAGTTGTTTGGGGTTTTTTTGTGTGCGTGTGACTTGCATTGGTTTGTTATACAGTATTCTTAAAATGCCCTTGAAATTAGCTCAAAGCAAAAATGTTAGTCTTGAAGAACATTTTGAAGAATTGATTGAAAAGTGAAAGTTTTAGTTGACGCAATGCAGACCAGTATTTGTGTACTTGTCATTGATAAAGAGGACACTGTTTAGTATCTCATTTGTTTGGTATTCCCTGAAGGAGGGAACAGGGCTGGAGAACTGAATATACTTTTCATAAAGTCTTATGTTGCTGTATACCTTTGGTCTTAATCATTGTTTTCTGTGTGGTCTTCAATAGCAAGTGGTGTCCTGAAAGGATTTGACCCTCTTCTGAACCTTGTGCTGGATGGTACCATTGAGTATATGCGAGGTAAGTAATATGAAGTCTTTGGAAAGTTTCCCCTCCCCAAGTGGTTTTCTTGACAGAAATCTTACAGATCTGTGAGTGAATAAGCAGAAACTGCAGATTAATGTCACCCAAACTGCAGCATGCTTGGGATAACTGTCTTATAAAGAAAGAGATAAGGTGAAAAGTCTATGAGACCTCACAACATGCACCTGAGGTGCCTGAGGGACTTGGCTGATACAGTTCCCAAGCTACTCTAGTTCCAGCTACTCTAAAACATTTAAATAAGTGATGGCAGTCAGGTGATGGGAAAGAGGAAAACGTTGAACCCATTTTTCAAAAGGGTAGAAAGGACCCTGGGAACTACTGTCCTGTCAGCCTCGCCTCTTGTGCTTGAGAAGATCATGGAACAGAGCTCCTCCTTGGAGCTCTGCTAAGGCATTTGGAGGACAGGGAGGTGAATTGAGACATCCACTGTCTTTACCGTGGGAAAATCTCATCTGACCAACCCAGGTGGCCTTCTGCGAAGGAGTGAGTCCATGAATGGACAATGGAAGGGCTTAGAAATGTCTTTTATCTCTACTTCTGTAAAGCCTTTGACACAGTCCCCCACCATATCCTTCTCCCTAAATTGAAGAGAGATGGACTTGATGGGTGCATTGTTTGATGAATGTGGAGTTGGTTGGATGGTCATATCCAGAGGCTAGTAGTCAATGGCTTAATGTCCACATGAACATCAGTGACAAGGGCTGTCCCTCAGGGATCTCTGTGGGGACCAGTACTGTTTATTGTCCATCAGTGACATAGACAGTGGGATCAAGTTCACCCTCAGTCTGCAGGTGACACACCTGAAGGATGGGGACTTGAGAGATAATGGGGACCTGGACAAGTTTTTGAAGAGGGCCCACAGGAGCCTCACGAGATTCAGCAAGACCCAAGTACAAGGTCCTGCTCCTGGTTTGGCACAACCCCTGGTATCAATCCAGGCTGGGGGATGAACAGATTTGAGAGCATCCCTGCTGAGAGGGACTTGGACATGGTGGTGAATGAGAGGATGGACATGTGCTTGCGGATCTCAAAGCCAGCGATATCCAGGGCTGCATCCCTACCAGGGATGGGGGATTCATGCCCAGGGAGGGGATTCTGCTCCTCTACCTTGCTCAGGTGAGACCCCCACCTACAGAGCTCCCCCAATAGCTGAGGGAATATCAGGAGGACATGCAGCTGCTGCAGTTAGTTCAGAGAAGGCCACAGAGATGCTCCAAGGACTGGAACCCCTCTGCTCTGGAGCCAGGCTGGAAGAGCTGGGGGTATTCACCTGGGGAAGAGGGCTCTGAGGAGATGTTATTGTGGCCTTTGAGGACTTAAAAGGGACATGAAAGGAAATGGAATTCAAATGCTTCAGCAGGCCCTGTTGTGACAGGGTAAGTGGTAATGGGTTTAAACTAAAGTAGGGTTGATTTAAATACAAGGAAGAGGGTTTTTTAATAATGAGAGTGATAAAAACACTGGGACAAGTTGCTCAGAGAAGTAGTAGGTGTCCTATCCTTGGGAGCATTTAAAGATGGTATTCCAAGCAACAGGGTCTAGTTAAAGATGTCCCTGCTCATTGCAGGGGGACTGTACTAGATGATCTTTAAAGGTGATTCTACAGCAGAAGTTAGGTTAAGCACGTTCTCTGTGATACAACATCCCTGGTAGTCCTTGCATGAGCTCCTCAGTTGACATCTCATTGGCCGCCCTTGTCCTCTAATAAAGTAGTATCCTTGAATAAAATAGCGTCTCTTCCTCCTCTGTGATACAAAATGTATCATTTGGTAGGGCAGTGTTTTTGAAGAGTATTCTCCTACCTGCTTAGAAGGGAACACCTGAAGCTTTGAATTTTCTCTTTAAAAGGGAGTTTTAAAATGGGTTGTTCATTTCTGTTGAATATAGACATATCTCATGGCAGATACAACTGGCTGATTTGTGTCTGTCTGTCCTGATCCAGCCCTGTTTGGCTTGGTCTGGGAATGGACTTGTGCTCTATTTCCTAATGCATTAAGAAGTCAGGGTCTTTTCCTGATTTGTGTTAATTCCCAAGTGTTTGTCTGTAGTGGCATTTGAAATGGGATCAAGAGCTTTTTTTAATAGCTTGCAGGTATACTATTGGCTAGATGAATGAAAGGGCCTTTGAATTCTTTAATAAATGTGTTCTGCTTTTTCTTGCATACAAAGCAAATTTCTTTATTGCTCACTGTCAGTAAAGTCTTGAAAACATAGATGGCACTGCAGCATCACCTGTGTACTCCATGTGTTCAATAAAACAAAGTAGTTATGCCAGGAAAGAACATGCATGTCTGTGCCTTTTGAAGTTGATGAAACTTCGTTTCTTTTTCTTATTATCCTGTTCTAACTGATCTCTACTTTTTAGATCCGGATGATCAATTTAAATTAACAGAAGACACGCGTCAGCTGGGACTTGTGGTTTGCAGAGGGACTTCTGTGGTTCTCATTTGTCCACAGGATGGAATGGAAGCTATTCCAAACCCTTTCATTCAGCAGCAAGATGGCTAATGCTTTCGTCGGATTGTCTCTGAAAACTTCAGGGGTGCAAGTCTTTGGAGAAAACTGTCAGAGTGTGAGAAGCTTCCTGTTTTGTGGGGGGAGTTTGAATGTGTATTTGTTAGTGTGAAAAAAAGTCAGCTTTTGTGGCTTTCATAAATGATGAGTGGATGGATAATGTAAGAAGTATGTTCTTGTTTTCCTTCCACCCCCACTTCCACAAGTAAGTGTGTAACTATGTTGTTTATAGCTGACAGAAGAGAACATACTGTGATTAATTGTCCGAGACCTTAATGATCTGAGTTTTGAAACAGCCCCATAAAATTAGTTCAGAATGCCCTGAATATTAGTTATATTATTTCTATTTTTAAATACATTAAAATGTATTTAATCCAAATTAAAAGCCTAAATACAGTAGAACATGTTTTTCTTCCTCTTAGATATCAGTACTCAGCTGGGGAAGCATTATGTTGTATTCTTTTGCTGTTGAGTGCAGTCTCTTTTGTGCAGGAAAATTACTTCCTTCTGTAGTGTTATCACCTTTACAAGGGATGTAGCCAAGAGGTCTTTTTCAGCACTTGTTCCAGAACTGGAAGGCTGTGATCTGTGTATCAGCAGGCTCACACATTTCTACAGGAGGACTGGTCTAACTTGTGGGATAAATCTTGATTGAGTGACCTGAACCTTCTGTAGGAATCCATTTGATGCCTGGAATTTTAGGGGAAGAGTATCTTATATCCTAACATTTGTTCAGTTGTAGGCAGTGTCTGGAAGTACTGCATATTTTTATATTGTAGCTATCCACTTCTGGTTTTGCTTGTTATAACTTGATTTGTAAGTAAACACTTTTATTTCTT